TGCCATTGGGATCCGTTGTACTCTTGGACAAATTGATGCTCAACTGTATCCTTAGCTTTTTCCCTAAGGCTTTGCTCAGTATCTATTTGTAACATAGATTTGGAAAAATAAACTTCCCTGAGTGGTACCAGTTTATGACACATTTTAGTTTGGTATAGAGGTAAAATGTGTACTCTACCCACCAGCCACTCCTCGGAAAGAAGGTTGGGCAATCCTACTTCCGTAGCGATACTGCCTCGGAAACCCAAGGAGGGGTCGCTATGAGTCAGGGCTGACTGGACGGCACATAACAACAACAACAACATTATCAGTTAGATTGCACAATTTACAATCTCTTTAGGAAAATGAATATGAATTAAATAATAGCATTGCATAGTTTTATAAATTTTTGGCATTATGAAAATACAAAATCTAATTCTTATCAAATATAATGATATTTGTTACAAATTCTAAAGTTGTTTAGTTATGTCTTGACTAAGAGTGTCAGGAGAGTTCTATTCTTTAGGTTTCTAGCTTATGGTACATGTTGTCTGTGGTGTTTCAATCTTCTTCCGGACAGTCTCTATCTCATTATGAAGTCGTCTGCTCTCCTCTTGGAATCCTTCCTTGAGAAGTTTGGCCTGTTCCTAAAGAGAAATGAATGGAGACTTAATAAAGTGCAGCATTAAGTAAGATCTCTTTCTTCTATCTAGTTTCCACATTTGTTTATTTTTCTAGTATCTCATTTCTTCTTGAAATTTTTTCCACCCCTAACTTTCATTATACTTTCTCCTGGGCATCCTAGCTCTGTATTAGTTTTTCTAGGTCTTCTTTAACTATAGAAATATTTCAGTTCATACCTCCAGAGATATTGTTGAACCTAAGATACCAGCCTTGATCTTTCCTTCTATTATGCACAGTGTTTATGGGCAATATGTTTGGCTTCAAATCTTATCTATCAATTATAGACTTTTTTATACATGCATATATTATTATGTATACACATATAAATAAACAAAGCATTCTCAAAATCTGATGAAGTGTCAGAACCTCAGATCAGGGAATTTTATCTAAGCCTCCACAACTTGGCAGGAATAGCAGAAGACTGATAATGAAATCAGGATCACAGACTGGCCATACTGGATTTTTGCACAGAACTCCAGCCTCAACACAAGCTTGGTTGTTGTTGTTATGTGCCGTCCAGTCGGACTCGACTCATAGCGACCCCTCCTTGAGTTTCTGAGGCAGTATCACTACGGAAGTAGATTGCCCAACCTTCCTTCTGAGGAGTGGCTGGTGGATTTGAACTGCCAGCCTTTTGGTTAGCAGTCAAGTGCCTTAGGCACACACAAACTTAGAGCATGGCGTAAAACACAGGTAGGAGTGAAAGACAGTCACGTGGGTGTGGTAACGGGGTTAGAAGATTAAGGAATTCCTTCTGCTCATAAAGTTTCTCTTAAAGTCATATCTGGTATGACATTAAAAAACAAAACAAAAACAAAAAAAAAAAACAAACAAACAGCACTGCAGACTCTACTAAGGGGTGAAAGTAGATCAGGCATCTTACCAAACTGTGTGACCCAGTGAAAGTCATTTAATCTCTCTGAACCTGTTTTTCTTTTCTTAGTGAATAAGGATATAGTAGTTCTTGCTTCATAGAGCCTTAAGCAAGAGAATACAGATAACACACTTTTAGCTGGCTAGTAGGTAATAGCTACCATTTACTGAGAGGGATACACAGATAAAGGACTGGTTGTGACATAGCATAAAGAACTTACTAACCAGACACAGGTAGGGGCCAGGTGAGTCAGACAGCCAAGGATCCAAAAGAATAAGTGGAAAAACAAGGTCCTTCTGAGTTTCGTGTTCCCAGTCATGCTAAGTTTGTGATCGAGGAGAATAGAGAGAAAACAGAACAACAAGATATTGCCATTAATTACCTGAAGTTTAAGAGCTAGAGTCCTCTCCTGCTCTTCCAGCAGCTGGGCCCTGTCCCTCTCCATCTTCTCAGTCAATTGTTTCATATGCTCCTGATAACTCTTTTCTCTTTGTTCCATCATCTGCTGATTCTTTATTTGCATTTCCTCCAACATTTTTGCTGAAGCCTGTGCGGATTCAGCTTTCACTCGTTGCACTGAGGAGAAAAAGGGACAAGAGAAATTCAAGTAGGGTTTCAGTGTTACCTCCTTTTCCTTTCACATATGTTTGTTATTGTTGTTACTTCATAGATGAAATTTCCTGGGATGATTTTTCCTTCTGTTAAATTAATGCCAATGACAGCATATAACACAGTCCGAAATCTTTTCTGTTGTTGCTCAAGTTTAATGACACCAAATTTACCCAATTTATTTAAACCTTTAAGAGATTTTCAAAGTTCTCTGGTCTCTTGACTCACTCCTCACCTTCAATCTCCTTTTCCTTTTCTGTGAGAGTCTGGTCTGTCTGTAGAATTGCATCCATCACAGACTGCATGGACATCAAGTATTTCTGCAGAATCTCTTCAGCCTTAGGAGACAGAGAACACTAAGTTAGCAGTAGGAAATGGCTGTAAGTAGTTGTTCCTGTTTCATCAGCCTACCATGTTTTCCTCTAGTTATAGCACCTCTTGGCTCTGGTGAGACTGGCCCAGAACAAGCCTCCCTGTGATAGATGGGCACATACTCCAGTCTGGCCAATCAGATCACCTACTAATCAGAGTCATTTGTAGGAGGCTGATGGAGATAGTAGGAAAAAGAGAGTCTCGATTCTTTTTAGATTGAGGGCTCTAAGTTTGGAGTTGTTGATGCTGTGGTCCCATATGGGGTGAACTTGCTGGAGAATGAACCCTCATGGAGAATGCAGATTAGAAGAATGGAGGTAGATGGAGAAAGAATGAAAGTGAAGCAATGGGTTTGGTGAGAAGCAATAGACACAGAAAGAGATGATGACGTTGTCTGTAGTCTTGGATCCAGTGTGCCTTAAAGCCAATTTAAAGCCCAAACCAATGAATTATTGTTTTTGCTTAAGCAACATCTTTCAGTTTATCTCCTTTACAACATAAAATTACCATCAGTGGCAGCTATAATAGAGGGAAGGAGCCCTGTGTCACAATAGTTAAACACTTGCCTACTAACTGAATGAGTGGCAGTTAAATCCCACTCAGTAGCTCTGTGGGAGAAAGACCTGGTGATCTGCTTCCACAGAGATTGCAACCAAAAAAATCCTATGGGGCAGTTCTACTCTGTTACATGGGGTTGCTATGAGTTGAATTGACTCAATGACACCTAACAACAGCAACATAATAGAGCATGTGTTAGTTAAAGTTATGTGTCAACTTGGCTGGGCCTAGTTTTGAGTGGCTGGGCTGTTGGATGTAGTATTCCCATGATGAGACTGGTAACTCCATGGTGGAATCTACTGTGAGCAGCTGAGTAGCTGCCTTAGGGATGTAGCCTGCTTCTAGTATATAAGAAGCAGCTTTGAGGAATGTCTCTAGCTTTTTGGCATGTTTGGATCCTGCAATTAGCCAAATCTTCATTCAGCAGCCTGCCGTGTTGCTTGCCAATCCTGTAACCGTTTCTAGACTTGAACTAGTGGCCTGCCGTGTTGCTTAACAGTCTTGGGACTATACCATTTTACTTGTTGACCTTGGGTTTGTCAGCCTCAGCAGCCAGCGGCTGTCTGAGTCAAGAGAAGCCTCTAGCTTCAATGGGCGGGAGCAAGAGGCAGAGCTGAAGACCAAGGTTGAGGGGCTTTCATCCAGCCTCTACAGCTGGCACTTTGAGCTCGAATTCTAGCCTGCTAAACTATAAGAGAATAAATCCCTGTTTGTTAAAGCTACTCATTTGTGATATTTTCTGTTAGAGCAGCACTAGAGAACCAAAACAGGGGGTTACAACAACCTGGTGGTTAATTTGATAATTCCATTTATAATTCAAATATGAGTTGAGTGCACCCTTTTTGATGAGCACCTAGGGCATATCTGGTATAACAGAATCACTGTACTTGTTTATTAAAGGAAAGAGTGCATGCTATGTAGACAAGAAGGTACTTTTGTGTGTAAATACCCTTGATCGCATTGGTGTTTGAGAGTCACATCTGCTGCAGAAACAACAAATCTTGGTTACCTGTATCCCCTTCCTGGATTCCTGCAGGTATTTTTTCTTTAGCTCTTGTGTCCTCTGAAGGAGGAGATGATATCCCCCTGGTTTAGAATAAATGCCCTGCTGCACTTCTTCTTCTAGAGGTCTAAAGATATCCTGAAGTAGAGCTGAGCAACGATCTGATGATGCTTGAAGATTCTGATTACAAAAGTCATCCTGCTTTTTCTCTAGTTGGGCCTGTAATGCAAAAATAGGGAGTAAAGAGAATAACAGGGAAAAGATGCTAGTAAGCCCTCAGACTTCTGAAAAATTTTCTCCAAATTACAGGAATCCAACAGGACCATGTCCTACCTCCTGACTCTGACTTTCTGCTGAGACCTTTTCCGTTGGAGGTTATTTTAAGAGTGGAGAGTGCTAGCTTTATGCTACATTTTCATAGGTCAATTCCTCCTTTTTGAATGGGACCTATGATTGTACATGAACAAAATGTGGCACAATGTAAGACCACTATTTTATTTACTTTTGACTATAATATCAAATTGGTCTAATATCAGAGGGCATGTATTTTGATTAGGAGTTCTGGTTGATACTTAAAACTGTCCAATTAAGTTGAAGGGTATATTATTATACCTATTCCTCACTTATTGGCTATAATGTCATGTGACATTTCTCATTTACCATGATAGTAAAAAATCTACCTGACTATTCTGCACATTAATGACATATGTCTGGAAGTAATGGATGCCAGGGTATGAGGTAAGAGTAACACTGGCTATGATGGTTAAGGTTATGTGTCAACTTGGCTGAGCCAGGATTCTCAGTTCTTTGGAAGTTATGTAATGATGTAATTTGGCAGTTGAGATATGATGTAGTCATCCTGCATTTTATGATCTGACGTGGTCATCCTCAATTTTCACACACACAGATTTTCACATAATGACCTGGTCTTTGAAACCTAACTATGTTAATAAATGAGGAGTGGGTGTAATTTCTTCTTCTTCTTTTTGGGGTGTAATTTGTTCTTGGGGAGCTCTGGTAGCATAGTGGCTAAGGCACTTGCCTGCTAACCAGATGGCTGGCGGTTCAAACCCACCAGCCACTCCTCAGAAGGAAGGTTGGGCAATCCTACTTCTGTAGTGATACTGCCTTGGAAACCCAAGGAGGGGTCACTATGAGTTGGGTTCAACTCAACGACACATAACAACAACAACAACAATTTTTTCTTGAAACTTTGAGTCCTTAATAATAAAATTAGTTCTCTTATTAAAATTACAAAGTAACATTTTAATGTCTAGTAAGAATTGATCCTCTCAAATAAATACCTCCATTTCTTTGTGGTATTTTACCTTACAACACCATATTTTGTATAAAGTAGAGAGAGAAATTACCGCTAATTTCTTTTGAAATAAATGGTCTACATCTTTGAATGAATTTTTGATGAAGACTTGGATAGCTTCTCTCTCACTGTCCCTGTGCAAGTCCAGCAGCTCCTGGAGGGTTTCTGTGGGCAGCTCCACCTTCTGGCTCATTTCCTGGTCATAGTGGGCAATAGCCATTTGAACTGCAGCTGAGTTCTCTATCTGGGCCAAGGTCAGGACTGCATTCTCCATGCAGGGCAGATCCCCACTGCTGATGGCATTGACATAGGTCTGCACCAGGCTCCCCAGACCTTCAATTAGAGAACAAATGATGATAATCAAGCATCTTTATTCTGTATAATTCTGAGCATGTCTGTTAACAGTTATTTGCTTCACAGTATCAATGGCATCAGCATTAAGGGACACAGCTTCTTTCCTTTGGCCTTACCTATCTTTTCTTATCCAAAATATTTGACTAATAAGATCTATTAGAAATGTTAGTAATAACTGGAATTTAACACAATAATAGCAATACACTTTACATTTCTCTCAGCTTTACATGAAGTAGACGTTATCTCACCTCCTCTTATACTTAACAAAAGGAGCTCTGGTGGCACAGCGTCCAAGGCATTATTTGATTGCTAACCAGAAGGTTGGCAGTTCAAACCCACCAGCCACTGTGTAGAAGGAAGATGGGGCAATCTACTTCCATAAAGATTTATTGCCTCAGAAACCCAATGGGGGTTGCTATGAGTTGGAATTGACTCCATGGTAGTGAGTTTGGTTTTTTTGGTTTATACTTAACAATGAGTAGAATGATAGGAAGAGAACTCACGAGATCCATTAACCTCGATGCCTCCTGAAAGAGTTTTGATCTTGGAATGACTGAAGATGAAGGAACAGAATTCTTCAACTTGTTGCACAAATTCAGGATCCAGCTCATCATCATGCAGTGTTTCAAGCTGGGCTAGCTTTTTCCGGTGAGTGGGTCAATCAAAAATAAAGCACTTCTTATTGGGGAAGAACTTCCGGATACAGAGTCGAGGCAGGTTAAAATTTTTATCATTTTGACAGGTATCTGGTGGAAGATAAAAAGGACTTTTCCTAATATAAGGGTTGGTAAGCTTCTTCTTCTTTTTTTTTTTTTTTCAAAAGGACCAAAGAGTAAGTATTTTAGACTTTGTAGGCCACATGGTCTCTATCAAAACATCTCAGTTCTGTCACTGTAGCATAAAAACAGCCATAGTCAGTATCTAAAGAAGTGAACACAACTGTATTGCAATAAAATTTTATTTACATTCTGCTTGTGGGCTGTGATTTGCCAAGCCCTGAATTAGTATACAGTTCCTGCTTTAGTGTAATCTGTTTCCTTCCACAAAATGTTTCTTCTACTCTATACTCTTTGGCTAAATACAACTTCACAAACACTAACAAGGGAGATAAACTCAACCTAATCACAGTACAGGGAAAGGTGAAAGAAAAACAAGCTTTCTATCAGCACAGGAAGGACCTCTGGTGGCATAGTGTCTAAGGCATTTGACTGCTAAGCAGAAGGTTGGTGGTTCAGACCCACCAGCCACTCTGTGGAAGGAAGATTGGGCAATCTACTTCTGTAAAGATTTACCACCTCAGAAACCCAAAGGGGTAGCTATGAGTCAGAATTGACTCAATGGCAGTGAGTTTGGTGGTTTGGTTTTATCAGAACAGAGGAGTTGTTGTTTTTGTTACTTGTTAAGTGATATAATTTTAAATTGGTCTATTAATTCAGATATTTAACTAACACTGAGTCTTTGAAATAGCCAGCTGAGAAGTAGAAAAATTCAAATACCCACTCAAAAACGACAATATTTAGTGTTTTGTACTCCCCATTTTCTAGTCATAGGTCCCTATTACCTGGATTTAGCTTCAGAGAATTCTCCAAGTACTGATCTGCTGTGATGGATTGTCCATCCACTTCCAAGTCTAGCGAGAAATCTCTCAAAGTCCACACAAAGTCTGGAAAGAAGCTCACAAAGTCAGCTGAATCCTCAACCTCATTTGCATCAGGTGAGGATTTTGCCCTGATTCGATCTGTCAGCTCTGTCACATAGCTGAATAGCTAACTAAGGAAAAGTGGCAAAATTAACAGGGCGTCTCATCCTCCTGGGAAGGAAGGTTGAGCAATCTTACTTCTGTAGTGATACTACCTCGGAAACCCAAAGAGGGGTCACTATGAATCGGGTCCGACTCGAAGGCACATACAACCGCAACAACAACTTATCCTATATTAGTTGGACATACTCCAGAACTTTGATTTTGCCTTTGTTCTTAACCCATGTCAATTGAGCATTGGGTATATTAGCTCTTTCCTCAGCAGGTGATCCATAATGAGATAGCTGGTTTAAATACAGGTATTGGGGCTGTACTTGACCACCAAAGGATACTGCAATTGGTCCATGGCTTGCTGGTTGATGGTTCCCATGCTATTGAATATGAAGGTGCTGCTTAGCAGGACAGCCAAGGCAAAGATCCAGGAGTCATTCTGGTTGTCTCCCTGGAAGTCAGAATACATTTGGGCTAAGAATATGTTCCACTCTCATGAAACTTCCCATATTAGCAGTAGTAAATTGTGCTCATTTAATTAGAGCTTTTTAGACTTCCAACCTATCAAGGGAACCCAAATCCACATATAAATGATTACTATTCATCTTGGTTTTATTCATCCTTGGGCTTTTGTCATTTATGTTTTCAGTTCCCATTGATTTGTAGTTTATCAGCTCACCAGACCCTCTAGTGAACATTGATAGAAAATCGCAAAATAAATGTTGTTGTTGTTATTTGCTGTCGAGTCAGATCTGACTCATAGCAACCCTCATACCCTTGTAAGTGGGCATTTCAAAGCATTAAATACAAATTATTTTTTTCCCTCTCTCTTTATTCATTAGCAAAATTGGCTCTCTAAGGGTGATAATACTTTTATTTCTTTTATTGAACAATTATTTTGTACCTGATATTTTCACTACTTACGAAATATTCCAAACACTACTATGAGGCAAGTAGATCTATTATATCTGTTTTGCAGATTAGAAAGCTGAGCCTTAAAAATGTCAAATAATTGGCTAAGACAATTGAGTTGATAACAAACGTTAAATTTTAACGCAAATTCTTGAGCTTTCAAAACCCAATTCCTTAAGTAAGGTTCTTTATTGGGTAAGACTCATGGTATTGATTTTATATTTACTATATTTATGCAATGGAGTTAACTGATTTATCTCAAAACCTATAGTTAATTATCAGAATAACCAAAAAC